CGCTCATCTCACTCTATAGGCCGGGAGCCAGCGCTGTCTGCAGACACTTCCGGGTCATGTGGCCAGCGTGACAAGCTGCCTCTGGCGAGCCAGCGCAGCACACGGAATGCCGTTTACCTTCCCACTGGTAAGCGGTCCCTATTTATCTACTTGCACCCGGAGGTGCTTTCGAACTGCTAGGTTGGCAGGCGCTGGGACCGAACGACGGGAGCGCACCCCGCTGCGGGGATTCGAACCGCCGACCTGACGATCGGCAAGTTCTAGGCGCTGAGGTTTTACCCACAGCGCCACCCGTGTCCCCATTGTGAATGTTTAGCTGGTGGTATATCACAATGTTGAAAACCAGATGTTGTCCACCCCTGTTCTGGTAACATCTCCAGAGTGTCTTCAGTGATCTCATGGGAAATGGAGTGCCTGGAGTGTGGGGTGGTGATGATGGAGGACCCTTCCCCAAACCTTTCCCTTCTGCAAGTGTGCAGGTCGGAGAAGCAACAAAAAGTGTTAAATAGTGGCTAAGAAGTTTTTTTGCTTTGTTTGTTGGACTTTTTACCTTCAGGGAAACCTTGAGGATGGGATCCAGTGTAGCACTAAGTGGAAATCAGCACAAGGATTTCTGCTTACATAACAGATCACCCTCCCCATTTTCTCCCCCAGTGCACAGTGTAAGTGTTCTAGGGGTTTCCCCAATACCCAGGAGCAGTTTTGGAGAGAGTGCTGGGTGCTTGTAGTGGGAGGAGACAGTGGAAAGTCCAGTTGCACTAGTGGAAATCCTTGTATTCATAATACGTGTTTGTTGAATACCATCCTGTATGTCATGATGTGCTCAGCTAGTATGAGCCAGCTGCTCTATGTTCTTTAAGAGGACAGGTACTGGATGAAGTCCTTGAAGGCAGTTGATTTGTGGGTAAGTTTTTTGATGGAGGACCTATTGGGTTGGAGAGATGGTGAATCATTCTAATCTCTTTGGGTATGGTTCCATCTTAGGAAATTCACAGGTAGGGAAAGATGGAAAGAGGCAGAACCATGTTTTTGTGTTTTCAGGTTTGAATCCCTGCTGCTAATTTTCAACTGTTGATATTAGTGTCAATGCTCTCTGTGGGGAATTGGGATACCCATAGTAAATTCCTTCTATGGGCGCAGTCTGGTAATATTCAGTGTCTTGATAGACTTCTTGGCAATTTATGCTGGGTTAATTGGGCACAAATTGGGCACAACTTTTCAATAATCTGCTCAAGAAATTATAACATAGTTCAGTCATCCCTTATCTTGGAGCTCTTTCTGAATAACGTTTGATGTGTCCATACATATCTCCTTCTGGCTTCTGCCTCAGAGTGCTGTGTTCCCAGCTTGTGCTGCTGTACTTCTCAGTTGGACCATTGCCATTTTCCATATTGTTGATGATTTGTCAGTTTTGGTCCTATTTTCCCCTTCTACATTTCTCAAAAGAGGAATACACAAAAGCTTATGGTAGTGGCTATGGTGGCATACTGAATCTTGTGGGAATATAAAGGACTACCAGCTTTATTGCACTGTTGGTGAATGAAGAGCAGCACACTAGGGTGAAAAAGTTTCCACTGTAGTCTGTCTTCCACCTCCACCATCCTGCTCCTGACTGGAGTGGTGGGGCCTTTGTGCCTAAACTGAATGATTAAGCTTGTGCTGGATTCATGAATGCATGAATCTAGGGTGAGTGCCGCTCTCTGTTGGCCTGTTGGATGGTCCCTTTTGTCCTGGACCCAGCACAGGCAGGAACTGGTCTTTCCTGAAATGTGAGAGCTGGGAAAAATGAAGATGACATTATTTGTACAGAAGGAATATAATTAAACTCACTGATCATTGCCTTTCTCTATTATTTTTACTTTCTTAGCTTTTGAATTGGACTGTGTAGTTTGATATGTTGATAGCTGGTATTCAAATGGATGAAATATGTTCCACAGCAAGGTTTAAGGAAAATATTATTAAATGCATTTGTTGATCAGGAAGTTAGAAGCCCTCTTCATCAAGTGTTTAAAAAAGAAAATCTTGGGACATAAAACACTTCATCAACCTTAAATCCACATCTGCAGAAACAGATGCCTCTCTTCACACTAACTTGTCTGCAAGTTTAAAATGTTTTACAATCATTTTAAAAGTAGTTAAAAACACTCACTGCATAATCGGGATACAGCAGTTCCCGCCCTCTGTTTTTAATCTGATTCTATCAATGGAGTAAAGCATGAAGGTTGATTTGGCAACTAGGTTATGGCCTCATAAACTCAATGAACTTACTATTATCCCTTAATTTTATATATTATGTAAAGGGAGAAATCTACCCTTATTAGATTGAGTTCTGTAATATTTTACAAATTAGAGAAACTATGCTAAAAAAAAGAAGGCAATCTGCATGAGTGCTGTTATTTAATTCTGCATTTGTAATAGCATTCAATAATTAGTTTTATTCTGATTTGTAATTAAAAAAAATTATTTATTTATTAACCAACTCCTTCCCTGAGGCCATCAAAGTGCTGCACACTTGGGTTCTGCATGATATCAGTATTATAGAGAAAGATTTCAAACATTTATAATTTTGATTACTGGTAACTTTAAAGTTTGAAGCAACATGAACATTGACAATGGAAATAAGCTATGCTTTTGAATCGGTGAGGCAGAACTTAGTAGGAGACAAACAGTAGAGCAATTAGAAAATTGAAAGGCAGAGGGCACTCTTTTGTAAAAGTTTTATAGAAATGTGGAGGCTGCAGATGACATCAGTTTCTACCTATTGCTTCTCTGTGACCTGATATAATTGCTAGCTACAGCTTGGCTGACCATTGGGGCCTGAGCTGAAGGCTCACACATTTTCCCCTCCTTCCCCTGTGCTCTCCAGCAATTTTCTTCACTTTGTTGTTTACAAAAATAATTTTTCCCTGATCGAGCTGAACAACAACAACAAAAGGTTTGCACAAATGACTGCAAACCAGAATTGGGAACCTTGGTTTTCACAAGGGGAGGAGGAAATAGGAAGTACTTAAAGTATATCCCATGGTTTGCAATTCTGTATGAAGTGAGTCATTCTGTGGGTTGGAGGCAAAGATGCAACGGTAAGGGAAGTTGATAGGCAATGCCAATGGGCAAAGTAGGGTGTGCTGACATTTTATTGGTTACCTTGCTTTACTAATCAAACACCAAGTCTCATTACCCACTGCAGCATTCACAGTTAAACACTTCCATGTACAATACTTGGCTTGCTGTTCAGAACGTGTGTGGTTTTGTAAAATAGACATGACCAGCTCCCAGCATATAATTTCTGAGTTACAGAGCAGGTAGGTTTAATAAGTATTATTTCCACTTTTCCACAATTTACATGCTTTGCCCAGTTTTTCCTGTAGAATAGTTGAGACGGAAGAAGGGAAGAAATGTATTCAGTCAGGCATTTAGTGTCGCCAGTCCAATGCTGTGGAACACTCTTCCAGCAGTTGTTCGGCAGACATGCTTGCTTTTGACTTTCAGACATTTCTTGGAGACTTTTTATGCTGACAGACCTATGGAGTTGCATATTTTTTTATCTTGAGTTGCCAGTCATTTTTATGCTTATTCTATATTGCTTTTAAAGGTTGTTACATTGATGTACACCGCCTGACATTTTGCAAGAAGGCGGTATCTAGGCGTTTTTTTAAAATATATATATAAATAAGCATCTTTCACTTTCATGTAAGCAGCAGACATCACAAGACAGTAACCAATAGTACTTATTATCTCTCCATTTCACTTGTTACACTATGAGTCATATGTTAAACTCCGAAAGAGTAAAATTCTTGAGTGGGGACTTAGCAACTTCCTTTCGCATAAAGAATTGTTATTTGTCTAAAAGTGTTGCCATTGTGAAAAATTAACAGTTACCATTTGGGGCAAACTGTGAATACAAAAGAGAGATTCTGTCATTTAAAAAGAAGTGTGAAATTAGACTTGTTAAAATTGCAGCAGTGCATATATCTTCCCCCTCTGCTTTCACAGGTTGGCTTTTTAAAGTGATTTGTTGACTATTAACATTTGAAAATAGGAAACTGTATAATATCTTTTTTAGGAAGTGAACAAATGAATGCAGGAATCTAGAATCCTCTTCATGAATCCATCTGAAAAATATTACAGTACCCACACAATATTTTCTATATGTGTTAATGTGATCCCTTTAAAAAGTCAGCGAGTTAGCACAAAATCCTAGATTATATTTCTTGGCAGGGGAGTGTAATAAAGCTGACTATCCTTGTAGTTTTGATGTCTGCCTCATATTTTTGCTGGTACATTCCAGAATGGTATCTGCAAAAGGTTCCTGCCAAGGGCTAGCATTTACATTTAAAATTTTTTGCATTTAAGGTGGAACTTTATTTTACACTTGCCATGGGCTTACCACTGAGAATGGCTGGCAGGCCAGTCTCAATTCCTCCCCCCCCCCCATGACTTTAAGACATCTGTGTCACTTACCTACATTTTCCCACAAGCAATAAACAATAATTTAGATGTAGAACCAGGAACTGTACAGCATTATCGTGTTACATTATGAGTAAATTGGATGATGTCTAATGTTGGTCGTACTCTTGAGTAGACCCATTGAAATAAATGTAACCTCAGTTTGGGGTGTGTGCTGAGTTTCACTTAGTTAGATATTACCCAGAATATCCAGTTCAACAGTGCAACTCAGAAACAAACTTCAATAGGACTTACTTCCATATAAGTATTTCAGCCTTAAAGTTATGGGAAGGGAGGGGGAGTAAAATGCGGGACTTGTTATCAGTGACGGTCCAGTATTCAGCTTAACATCTAATTCTGCCCTTAGACATTTTCAAGTCTTTTTAGCTGCGGTATTTAAAATGATACTTATTGTTGATGTGAAAGAATTGCTATGTGTGCATATCAGTGACTTCCCAAAGGAGCTGGTTTCTAACAAGCTGTGCATGTTATAATGAAGTGTTTTGTTTGTGAATGTAAAACCAAAATAACACTTTGCTTACTCTTTTTTTTAGGACATCCAGTTACAATTAAAAGGGAAGTTACTTCTCTTTGGAGGAAAAGAAAACTGAGTTACCTCCATGGAAGACACTCAGGATTTAAATGAACAGTCAGTAAGTACAAAATTGTTTAAATAAACTCATTAATTTTTCCTATGTGCTGTGTTCAAAAATATTTTTCATTTTGCAGTATGTTGTTAGAATTGGTATGTAGCTGCGTGTTATAAAGTAGGGTAGAACTTGAAGGTCAGTGTGTAAGAAACACTGATATATGTGTAGAAAGCTCTAATGTTTGGCTTGGGTTACTGTTCAGATACTATTGAAAAGTTGCCTGGAGTCACCCCCATTTCACAGTGGGAGGGGCTTCCTTGAGCCAATGAGAAGCAATGCATACTATGCTAGTTGTGCAGGCAGTGCATATCTTATGGGGTAGGGAAAAGAGCTGGCTGGTCCAAAAACAGAGGGAAGCACATTGCATCACACTCGGCAACCTGATGTACCTCCCCTTAGGAAATGGGACATTTCCCCCAAAGTGTGGGTGTGGGTGATGTTGGTTGATATAGTGGCCTCTGAAGTGATTTCCTGTTTCTAAATGACATGGAACCTGCCAACAATAAAAAGACAAGCCTTCCTTTTTTTTTCAACCTTGGGAACTGTGCTGTTTGTGCCTAGATAAATTGGTGCCTGGGTAGTGACCAGGAGTGGCTGGCTTCCACTAGTACACAGGATTTGTTGAATCTGGCCCTATATCTTTAGAGGTGATCTAATGTGAATAGTGAAATATCTTGTACAGTCATACCTCGGGTTACAGATGCTTCAGGTTGTGTTTTTTTCGGTTATGGATCTGCCGAAACCTGGAAGTACCGGAATGGGTTACTTCCAGGTTTCGGGGGTTGCGCATGTGCAGAAGCTCTGAATCGCAATGTGCGCAGGTGCGCCGCTGTGGGTTGCGAACGTGCATCCCACACGGATCATATTCGCAACCCGAGCGTCCACTGTACTTATACTTTATATGAACTGAGTTCTTGTCTTAACTGGAAGTATGAAACATTTTTATTCTGAAGTAAATTGCTCTGGTACCGTAAAAGGAACAGGATTCATTCATAATTACAGTTGTACCTTGGTTCTCAAACACCTTGGTACTCATACGTTTTGGCTCCCAAACACCCAGAAGTAAGTGTTATGGTTTTCAAATGTTTTCTGGAAGCTGAATGTCCAACACAGCTTCCGCTTCAGTTCAGGAAGCTCCTGCAGCCAATCTTAAGCTGCGTTCTGGTTTTCGAACGTTTTTCAGAAGTCGAACGGACTTCCGGAATGGATTACATTTGAGAACCAAGGTATGACTGTATTATTTTTGTATGGCTGCTCTCCAGTCTGACTCTTGAATAAGTAAAAGACTGCCATGATGTCCACTAATGCTTAACTTTGCTCTCTTGCCCTTAAATCAATTACGCTTTTTTGAAAACTTAAAGGATCTAAGGATCTTTTTCATATGTTTAGTTACTTTAAAAGATTATATTATGTTGCATTTCCCTACAAGACACTTAATGGCATGAACACATAACCTTTGTAGCACTTCACATTTTGGAATACAGTGGTACCTCTGGATGCAAATAGGATCTGTTCCGGAGCCCCGTTCGCATCCAGAAGTGAACGCAACCCGTGTTCACGCATCTGCATGGGTTGCAATTCGCCGCTTCCTCGCATGTGTGTGACAACATTTTGACTGTCTGCGCATGAGCGAGCAGTGAAACCTGGAAGTAACGCACTCCGTTACTTCTGGGTCGCTGCAGAGTGCAACCCGAAAATACTTATCCTGAAGCTACTTCAACCCGAGGTATAACTGTAGTAAGCAAACCATATGCCTGTGATAGAGATGTTAACTCTGTATTTTGTTTTACTTCTAAAATGTTGTTTACCATTCAGTCAACTTTTTAAAAAGAAAAATAATCTAGTGGCTAACTTCCTAGTATATTATTTCAAAAGAGGCTTTATTAGAAACTCATGTAATTTCATCCTGAAGCTTTCATATAAGGTTGCATATTTGGGTTAGTTGATTTTTAACTTAAACAATAGATTCAACTACTGTAAAATGAGAAGTTCACAGTTATATGTAGTTAAGCTTGGTTTAATTTGGTGACATGTTAAGAACAGGACATTAAAATGATGCATGCAAATTTGCTTTACTTCCATAGCAGTAGGTGAAAGGGTATATAGCCCATGTCTTGCTTTTCTTGGCCTTGTTGCTAATCCTTATACTCCTTTCCCAACAATACAATTTCCTTTGATATTAAAGCACTACTCGTTAAATGTTAGAAGATATCCATCTCTGTTTGGGACTGTATTGCTCCCGGAAAAGACAAAAGTGGTATCAGATTGGTTCAATATTTTGCCATACTGGCCTTGCCACTACTTTCTGCAAACCAACCCTGCAGAACCATAGTAACTGCTTGCCTTGCAGCCAGGTTACACATTTGCAGCCAAGATTACAATTCGGTCTGGAAATGGATTGGCAATTGCTGGATAGGAATCACCTCTTTCTGGGGGAGCTCATAATCTATTGGGCTCAGAGCATTTCAAGGAAACTGAATTTGGGCAGTTTGTGGAGTCAGTCTTTGGGGGTGGGGACGGGTAGTGTGTTTGAAAATGTGTTTGAAAGTGCTATTAGCAAAAGATTGATGACATTTCATGAATCTAATTTTTTTAAGTTCTATGTTTGCTTTGAGCCTGTAATCACACAATTTGTCCATCCATCCAGTACTCCCAAAGTTTGACATGCTGTTTTGCCTTTAGATTGCTTGACTAATGTTTCATTGACATGCTGTGACCATGATAGCTTAGCAAATAATAAAGACAGAATTCTGAGAACTTGTTATTACCACACTACATCTAATATACCGGTATATTTGCCACTTGTCTACACCTGGAAAAAAGAAATTCTAATATGGCAACAGCTCACTCATTTTAACTGGTACCTTGACGTTTTAGGTGCTCAAGAACTAAATGATTTTTTTTACTGTCTGACTAGCAGCACTTCTTCAAGGATTTGGGTTCCAGCCCCTTATAGCTGACCCAGTACACAAATTTACTTTGGAACTGTTCCTTTAACAAAACAAAACATTACTTGCAGAACATTTTGTGGAAACGCTTTAAGCCAAGTTCGGGGGGGGGGGAGGGTTATTGTATTAAAAAAACCTCTTAGAGATTATGTAGTCCCCATGATAACAGGTCTCACCTTATGACCTAACTCCATTTTCTGGAGCCTTGAAAAATAAAAATAAATGCTCAGTTGGGAATTTCTGCACAGTTCCCTGTGAGCAATGTATCGAAGGCAAGAAAACAGTTTTGATTTTCACATAACTTGACAGGCCTTTTAGATGAAAAGTTCTCACTTCTTGACACAAAAATTGAAACTTGCAAAAAACCAACTTCTACTTCAAATATAATAGTTAATTTAAATAGGATAACATTGCTGATTTTCTTTCTTTCTTTCTTTCTTTCTTTCTTTCTTTCTTTCTTTCTTTCTTTCTTTCGCCATTTTTTTCCAGGGTGTTATATATTTTTATAATACCATTAGTGTTTCCTTGGGCAATATTTCAGCCATATTGGAGGGTAGTGAAATGCCTGGTTGAAAGAGCTAGCTTTGAATGAGCCACCGTGCTGAAGTCAAGGGAGCAGAATGGAAACAGAAGTTGGTAGTTAAATTCTGTTAAACCCCATGGAACTTGTATGACCACAAAAAGAGCATGGCTCAGAACTTTTGAAGCAGGCAGGTGAAGTGTTGATGAGCAAGGAAGATTGAGGAAGCAATGAAATATGGTGCCACATACATCATGTGTAATGTGTATTTCACCCTTACACTCAGCCTGTAAGTGCAAGTAGACATTTCTTCTTGAGAATGTAATGCATATAGCAGTCAGTTGCTGGACAGTCAGATTGACTCTGGATGATATATGTAACAGATATCACTTCTGAATTCTTGAAAACCTTTACTTCTAAAAAGCTCCTTTTGCCAATCAGGACAGAGGATGATAGTGTGTGGGCTTGGGGGAGTTAATTATCCAGCTATAGTCATATTTGCAGTGAACTTTGATACTACCTTGTAACTAACAAAGTTCTCCCTTTGTTGGCCCATGCCAGTATGGCCATATTTTTTAAAGTTTTACTATAATTCTTCCTACATGTTGGATCCTAAGTCTTCACATGCCCTCTTTATATCTAGTTCACTTCAACAACTATTACCCTAGAGAAAGGGGAGCCAATATGGTGACCTCCAGATGTTGATGAAATCCTACGTTCATAATCTCTGGCCATTGATGGCTGGCTGGGGCTGACAGGAGCTGGACTCTAAAAACATCTAGAGGGCGCCATGTTGGCTACCCTTGCCCTAAGGCATCATGAAAAAAGGTTCTATTTCCAGATTCCCATAAGCTCTTATAATAGAAGCCACAATGCAAGACCTAGAGGTCTGTGGTTTATATACTGTTCCATCTTGTATGGCAGAATTACCTCTTTGGGAAAGGAAGTATGTACACATCCTAAAACTGGCTTGCATTCAAGTTTTAGATGTATACCTCTTTGTAACACATGTGTTCAGCCTGAAGTGGTAGAATAGCTGGCTAAAGATTACCAAGAAGCAGACTAATGAATAGAACCAGGAACTGCAAAGCTTTCCCCAGTGTAATATTTCTGAAAACAAAATGCAAAGTCATTCCTTGTAGCATTTTTTCCAATTCCGTACTTTTAGAATGCTGAGAAACTAGGCAAAGCACATGAAAGAATGCTCTCTCACAGGCACTTTTTCTGCTGCCCCTTTTTCAGGCTTCTGGGAACACAGAATTTTTAATGTCATTGGCTACAGGGAACCATCTAATCTCTGTTCAAACTCCTTTAAATAATTTAATAACTGTGAGTGATTAAGACATTAAGAATTAAAGTAACTTCAGACCAGTCCCTGATAATGAACACATGTTGTCCATATTTCAAGGTGAAGAGAAATATGGAAGAGTAAACTTTATGTGCAGTTTACTCTAGATTTGAGTAATGTTAATAAAACTCTAGAGTAAGTTTAAAAATGTTTTTAAATAAAATGTCATGTGACTGTGAACAAATTT